ATGCGATCGAACACATGAATCAGTACGGGGAGGGCGTCAACCAGATCCCTCATGGCTACCAGGGCGCCGTCGCGGAACATCACGCCGACGGGACCCCTTACGCTCCGCTAGGCGCCCACGAGGATCCGATGCACCAGGAAGGTGAAGACTATGGAGAAGAAATGGAGCATGAAGGAGGAGAAGAACACGAAATGGGACATATGCACGGGGAGGAGATGGAACCTGACTTTGACGAAGAGTAGATGAGAAAAGCGTAGTACGAAGGCGGGCCACATGCGATCCGGCCGAATTTATAGGCACTTGCATTGACTGCAGCAGCCATAACCCACTTATTATAATGGCGAACAACACTGTAAGGACCTCTCCAGCTATCCCAACGTCTTCAACGTAGGCCATGACAGCTAGAGCGCTTACTGCGAACGCAGCTAAGACGAGCAGTTGTTGTCCTGCAACCACAACCCATAGCCCGAAATGCACTTTCCGTGATTTTGAGTCATATAAATCAGCGAACAGGTTCCTGTGAAATGATAGGAGCACTGCTGCCATTGCAGAGTAACCAAGCGAGAGGACGAACATGAGCCAACTAATGGCGAGTAGTCTTCGAACTTGCTTCTTGTCGAATCGAGAATGAGGTGGTGGTTCGTTAAGAGAACCCAGCATGGTCGAAAATGTGAATCCTGCGCCAAGTGTTGCTATACTTCCGCAGACCTCAAATAGTCGATCACACCACTGCAGAATATCTTTACCATCCTTCCGTGACTTCTCCTTAATCTGACGGTTTATAGTCGAAAATGTGATGCGAGTTGGCATGCCTTCAACCTGCCTTAGTCTTAGAGGTCCCGTCATTTCTTCGAACGATGGTGGGCTGTAAATGATGAATTTGGACATAGAAGAACGTAAGCATTGGCAGACTATCTCGTGACTCAACGTGCTTGCGATTTGCATGCTAAGCCAGGTTTAGCTTCGTCTCTCGTATTCTCACGAGTTGGAGGTTCAGCTGAATAAAAAGAGGGTGTTGAAGGTGAATTTAGATGTCAGATACGAGGTTGGATGCCTGTGGTAAAAGCAAATACGTTGGCATCTCCTTCAGTCTCGTCTTCCGTTGGCACTCTGATGGTAGTCTACTGGTTCTCCTTCACACCCACACTGTTTGCCGAGACCCGCAAACGAGAGCTGGTTCCAGCTGATACAGCGCAATACGAAACTCCGCCTTAGACAGGAGTATCTTCCAATGATCTGTCCGTACTTGTCGCCTGAACTTGCCATTACTCTTAGATTCGCTTTTGAGTGGGCTAGAACAGTCGGGCTTAAGCTACCTCGGATTATTCGGGCTGGAACGGACCACGAGCGCGAAGATCTTTGGCCATGGCTTCAATAGTAGCTCCAGCGGCACTCGGAGATTTGTTGATGGCTTGGACACCATTATCCCTACGTATTTGGGCGTTCTCGACTGCCTCCCCAGCAAGATCTTCATTTGAAGGCATCTGCTCATGGTCGGAAACCTCCGTCGGTAAGGTATCTTCTGCTTGGGTTGGAGTTGGCTCCAAGACAGTCACAGCAAGCTCCTCGCGACTGTCGACACACATGTCATCCACCCGGCCATCAGTCGGTGGGAGCTCTTGTTCACGTTCAGGAACAGGAACAGACGCTAGTGAAAGAGCCTGTATAAATGCTTCAGCATCTCCGCAGATTTCGCGAATCAGAGACCCCAGATTCGGATAACGTTGGCAAAGGGAATCACTGTCGTCGGAAAGGCATGTGTAGCAGCGCGCCGCGCTTGAGTTCATCGCCTTGAGAAGGTATTGTTGGAAACTATCGCAAACAGCGTGGCTGTTCTTTGATGGAAGATCCATGTCACTCAAGGCCGAGAGCGATTTTCGAGGGCGGTCACTAGAGGACTCCACAGAATTACACGCGAGGGACGAGAAGCTCACACCGCCCTCCGATATCAGTCACGTCTGACTTCGCTACGAGTAGTAATCCTAGAAGAGGTCGGACTAAAGATGAAAGTGTGGGAAGTGCACGCGTCGTGATGCTAGAATTCTCCGACGAGATCGGAGATGTTTACCCCAGCGCGTATCGTGGCGAGCACGTGATTTGCCCCCTTCTTGAGGTCGCAAATCACATGTCTACGCGTGCCTCGCCGAGATTAGACATTCCAATCGAAGCTGCAGGGCCGAGATGTCAGAGGTAAGCTGAAGGTCCAGGACTACGGGGCTGAAAGCGGGGTATCTTGGCGAGGGCTAGGCGAACACCGCTTGCATTAACTTTACGCTTGAGGCGGAGATACTTTGTTCTGTAAACGAAACCTTTTTCTGCTGAGAATTTTTGTTAGCTTCGCTTCCGCCAACACAACTTTCGACCTCATCGTGCAGGATGTCTTCGCTCAAGAATGACTTCATTCTATCTGAAACTTATAACTGTCTCCTCTACATCCTCCAGAATGCAGAGGTCCAATCACCCTGCAAGTCTCTACAAGGATTATTTTATATTGCAGCCAACCTGTAAGCGGTGGGCCCTGATTATCTCCACTTCCCCAGACATGAGCCACCAAGTTCGCGGGCTCGTATTCTGCAGTTGCCAATCCTGGGGTAGGGTGCACTCACTTGATTCTGTTGACGTGAGCCAACCTTTCCATTAGCAAACAAAATTCTGCTTCTCATCCTCTGTCCCAGCCGACTCCGCCAAATTCTGCGTGTAGGCCCATGTCCTGTCGAAGACGTGGCAAGCGTGTTACTCCTATCCGGCGGTGGCTCCAGCCCAACTTCATTAATCATGGATGGGTCTGCCGCTGTAGTAGGCTGATGAATGAGCTCAAAATATCTAATATATCTGCCACTTTACGGCACAGAGGGATGGTAAGTGTAAAATTGCCACGAGATCTGGTCTGACGGCCAGTCGTAGATTGATCCGGAAGGGGTTTTACACATTGGAGCCTGGAAACCCTCCTTCCACCGTGGACTTAAACTTCTCAAGACCATGGTGGAAGAAATGCCTAGTAGATACCACCCATGCTCAGCTTTTAATTTCAAATCGTAAGCATATTTAATAAAAGCAAAACAGCTTTCTTGTTCACTTCTGTTCTGTGAATCACTCCCTACGTTCAAGAGCTCATCCCTATCACATTGCCAGTATGGAGTCGCATCATACTAATCAAGCACCAATCGATAAACACCTAAAAGAATACGAGGCAGCATGGAAAATAGGCTCCGTCGAGGACCTCATGTCTTTCATGTCAGAAGATGTTTCTTTCTCTGACTTCGGTCCGTCACCTTTTTCACCACAGGAATGTATACTGAATCCGGATAGGAGTTGGCGTACTCGACCTTAACAAAGCTGCCATGGGAGCCTATTTCGCCAAGGTTTTCGGTTCTATTGACAACCTCAAAATCACGACGCATTCGGTTAATGATCAGAAAGCCTTTACTGCTTGGGAATGGGAGTTAACGTTTAACTACGTGAAGCCGGTGGAGGAGGTGGCTCATGAGGAGGCGTTTAGGTCCGAGATGGCAGATGGAAGGACTATGCACATGGTAGGCGTCAGTCTCTTGTGGTGGAATGACAAGGGCAAGATTGTGAAAAAACATGATTATAGCAAAACGGCGGCTAAGTAGCTAGCTATGGCACGTGGTTGCAGGTTTCTGGACTTTCAACTACATGTGCTCTCATTAACAAAAATGAGCACTTGGGACTAGAGCAGCTCATAAAGCGAGCCGCGAGGTCACATATATAGCACCGAATGGCAAACAGCGACTAAAGATGCTGAGTATCTACTGAACTGTCGATGTGTCTGAATATTGGTAATGCCCAACGCCCGGTTGCTTGGTGTCATACCTAGGTGTGAAAGGAGACTAGTCATCTTCAAATGTATTTAACAGACTATGGCTCGGAGCAGCCTTCATTCCCACCTGGTTTCCCAGTTTTATTGGCAAAGCTGTTTACAGTTGGCCGCGTCCAAACAATTTAACATTCCTTCCAAATTTCTCATGCTGCTAGTTCTCCCCTTGAACTTCTCGAAACCAGATGAAAATGCACTTTCATGCCTCAATGTCAGGCCCACATACTCTTCTTACCATTGTCTGTGCTGGGGACTGCTACCGCTCTTATTTCTGCACCCAACCGCGAGACTACAAGTTATTTCAGCCAACACAAGTTCGAACCCAAATTATGATGACGTGTCGAAACAGCTGAGAAAAGGTGGCCTTACTCCCAAATATCTCATCCATCGCTGACCACTCACGCGTTGTATCGCTCGCACAAATTTTGCAATACAAATCTGTAGGCTGATCACCTCGTTGCAAATCCACGTTCGAGGTTTTCAGCCAGTTTTCCCTAGGGGCGACGTGACCTAGACCTCAGCCTTCTTCGCTATTATCACTTTCGTTCTGAGAATCATGAGTCCCTGTTTCCTCAGATA